AAACCTAAATGTCCAACAACAGGAAAATGGTTAAAAAACTATGGGTAAATATCTACCCAATGGATCATTATGTAGTCACAAAAATTCTACTTTGTACAGTTTATAACATGAAAAACCCACCTGCTGTTAAATGAAATAGCAAAATACCAAAACATAATATCCCAAAAGTGACTACAAACATTAAAAAATGTGCATTAACTTAAAAAAAAATCTATGTGGTAAGAATGAGAGAGAGAGGGAGTGGGAGGAAGAGACAGACAGGGATACTATTCCAAAATGTTTTGTACTGGTAAATTTTTAAAATTCAACTTTACCATATTCTTCAAATTTTTATATATGAGATATATTTCAAAATATATTACTTCTATAATGAAGAAGATAAAAATGTCATGTATAGCCACACTGTAGTCTGGGGTTATTTAGTACAGGGACAAGCATCCCTAAATACGGCTTTTTGGTCTCAGTAGTATCATTGCATTAGAGCATAGCAAAATTCTTGCCCATTAATCTACATTCATAATAACCTAGAATAACCAAAAGTTAAATTATGGACAGTAAACTGTTAAATAGTGAAACATACAAGAGTTTGTAAAAAGATCTCTATCAAACCAGTACCAACACGGTATTGCATTAATAAACGTAATACAAGTTTTCCTGACATACTTGCACCACATCACTCTCCTGCATCCAAACCCTGAAAAAGTCCCCAGTGTCAGGAGTAATTTCAACAATTTTCTGCAGTGTGCATGCATTGCACAGTCTCGTCCCATTCTAATGATTCTCCCCACTCTATTCCATGGGATCAAAGACTCTTATTCACAAGCCTTGTGCTCAGGCTGGCCTACTCACTTTCTCTCAAAGAAACTTTATATGTACTTTTGCTCACTCAGCCACCAACACCTTGATTTCCCTATTCCTTCCTACTCCTGGCTCAGCTGACTCCTCATATTCCAGGCACAGATTGCCCTCTTTAACCCACAAGCCATCTCATATACACATAAATGCACACATATACATATACCTCACTAAGTTATTGTTTATAAAACACACCAAGCACTTAGCCATATAGCCTAAAATCATGTAAATAAAAACATGTATTATCACCAGAATGCATCTGAATTTCCAAAAATTAGGGAACTTTGCTGTATTTCTTTATATAATACATTGTTTTTATATAATGCTTTACAGCTTATAATGCAACTTCACATATATGATTTTCAATAAATACCTTAGTGACTTAAAATTCTGAAAGAGTTCATCCCCAAAAGATGTGGGATAAAGATATTCTTCCTCCCAAAAATCCTCAAATAATATTAGTTAATGGTAGAAATAACAATTACTTCAAATGGGAATAATTAACAATTATCTCCATGTGAATATAAAGAAAGTGACTAAAGTCTGTCTCTGAATATGTGGATTTTAAATTTGGAGCCACAAAGTATAAAAAGAATAGAATCTAAAAAATGGCTATTTAAAAAAAAAAAAGAAGAAGATAACTCAGTAAAACAACTTATCAAAAGAACATTTAAAATAAAAAACATTTTCAATTTAATGTGGTAATCTATAATTAAAAATGACAGGATGAACTTTTATTTTAAAAAGTCTATTTTGTTAAGTAGACAGATGTTTTCATTAAACCTACACACTGAAAGCTCTTAAGATTTTTCTGAAACCTTAACAATAAATAAAATTAAGGTAGCTTAAACTATTTCAAAATATACAGTTATAGCAAACACAACTCCCTGGTGTTGATCTTCATTGCCATATACCGTTAAAAGGTACATGACCAAAAAAGTACTCTGACCAAACTAAACCACTTTCCAAAAAAACCAGAAATCTTGTACAAATAAATTAATTCAGACTGAGTAGTTTAAATATAGTATTTTAGTTATAGTTTGGACTGTGTTTGATCACTGTGTTATAGAAAAAGGCCATTAACCACATTTTAAAGTAGGTACAGTATATTACATGTGTGTGTGTATGTGTATTTTTTTTTCCAAGGCAGAGTCCGCTCTGTTGCCCAGGTTGGAGTACAGCAGTGGCAAGATCTGGGCTCACTGCAACCTCCGCCTCCCAGGTTCAAGCCATTCTCTTGCCTCAGGCTCCTGAGTAGCTGGGATTACAAGTGTGTGTTATCACACCCAGCTAATTTTTGTATTTTTAGTAGATACGCGGTCTCCTTATGTTGGTTAGGCTGGTCTCAAACTCCTGACGTCAAGTGATCCATCCACCTCAGCCTCCCAAAGTGCTGTGATTACAGACGTGGGCCACTGCACCCGGCCACATCACAGGTATTAATGAAAATTAAAAACATGGTTTTTCTTAGGTAAAATAGTAATGTCGACAAATTTTATCTTACGCCACATCTCAGGTTTGAATTATGATGTCATTAATTACCTATATAGACTCTTTAATATAAAATTAAAAGTATTACTTCAAATCTTACAATATCATCAAGGACTTATTCCATCTAATTCAATGAACTGACCTAAGTATTTTTCATAATTGTATTTTTATGTTAATAGCCAATCACTTCCTCTTTTCTAACAATTCACACTTATTCTATATAGTAAGGTTTCAAAATGACAAGTTTTTTCCACCCAAGTCAACCTTGAAAAGGCAAGGACTGCAGGGAAAGCAATGAGAAAAGAAAGAAATCTCTTGCTACCCTCAGATCTACCAAGCTATACTTAAGAGCCAACTCTAAGTTCAGAGAGAAAAAATAAAATGGGAATATAAAAAACTCTTAAAAATGTAGAAGAAATTAGACTAGTTTAGTTTTCTTTAATATCTTCTTTAATATGACATTACAGCACACAACTGAGCCCCTAGTGTGTTAAACATGGGGATGTATATCCATATGAAGAGATGGAAACAAGTTTAATCTTAACCCCATTCCTTTTGGCAAGTAATAGAAATACAGCATACAAATGGACCAATTCTCTCTCAGTGTATTTTATCAAGTCTTTGAAGACACCATAATAGTTTTATAATGAACTTTGCTGTAATCTGTTAAAGAATCCTCAAATTAAATTACAGGGATGTTTCGTTTTAACTCAAACACAGTAAAATGGGGATTGTACTAATAATCCCCTCATGAAGTATAAGGATTAATGCTCATGTAAGATCAATGCAGCTATTTCCCTATCACTGAGATACAGTGTTAAATATGGTGTCTTCAGCTGCTTATTAAAAAAGGGTTAAATATAAGAACAAAAGAACTTTCATCCTGAATTACAGCCAGCAAAACAAAAGAAAAAAAAATTTAAACCAAAACTTGTGAATGGTTTTATATGATTTGTCACTAAACGTAAACATACATATGCTCAAAGCACTTTTAAAAAGTTTTAAGTTGTGATTTAACCAGAACTTCTGCAATACCCATAAGAAATTAGGTAAAATTCTAATGTTCTGGTAATCAACATATTAGGAAGCAACAGATATTAAATTTGAAAGGAAACTAAATACACAAAATAAAAGGACTATTTTAAAGTAAGGGCGTAAGAATAGGAATTGCTAACTATAGCACTGAAGCTTTTCCTTGGAAATATCTTAAACTTACAGGGAAGACAAACAAGGTGGACAAAATATGCAGATCTAAAGCAATGACAAGTTACAGCAGAAGAGGGAATGCATTCTCTAATCCACAGGATCACATATGTGGCTCTAAGCAGTTACCGGGAAATATTTTGGTGTTCTTCCTATCACGTTAATTTAAAAATTTAAACTGAGTTACAGTAGTTTTATAAGTTAAGAGTTGACACAAGCAAATTACAAGAACTCTAAAATTAGCCTTCCTTAATTGGGTAGGATTTACCATATCCATCTGAACAAACCCATTTCCCCATCCTGAGATCTAAAAGAATGTGAATATTGACCCATTTTAATGCTTTTCAAGTTCAGACGGAAGTCATACTGTACACCAGTCTTTTGATTTTAGGAAACAGCACAAAGCAAACTCCTAAAATCAACTCACTTAGAAAAGAAAGGAGGGAGGGGGTTCTAGGAATTCATTCATCCACAAGTCATTCCAATCTTCCTGTTAATGCAAAATTCATTTGTATAAACGGCTAAATAATAACTTCCAAAAACCTCCAAAATTATGTTTCAGTTTCAAATTAAAGAACTTCAGAATTTTCAAAGAATCTAGTATCAAAACAGATCTTTGCCAGTTCACATTTGTTCCATATTTTGCATTAAACAATAGGCTTAATGATTATTTCATTATGGCATATACATCAGAACCTAATCTTTCAGAAGGGCTCACTGACAATCCAACTGCTTTTAGGAATTTATCGGTTATCTACAGGGAACACCTGACTGGCAGGTAGAGCCAGGTCATATTGCAATTTTAAATATTCCAACTGGCCTGGGTGTGGTGGCTCATGCCTGTAATCCCAGGACTTTGGGAGGCCGAGGCGGGTGGATCATGAAGTCAAGAGATCAAGACCATCCTGACCAACATGGTGAAACTCCATCCCTACAAAAATACAAAAATGTGCATGGTGGCGCATGCCTGTAGTCCCAGTGACTGGGGAGGCTGAGGCAGGAGAATCACTTGAACCTGGGAGGCGGAGGTTGCAGCGAGCCGAGATTGCACCACTGTACTCCAGCCTGGTGACAGAGCGAAACTCCATCTCAAAAAACAACGACAACAACAACAACAACAACAACAACAACAACAACAACAACAACAAAACAAAAAACACATATATATATATTCTAACTCAAACACAGGAAATAATCAGAGGTGGACAATGATACATAACTGCAATATACTAAGCAGCAGCAGATAAGTCACTTTTCACCTAGATGATCAGCTGCCAATAAAATCGTATACATAAATTTAATGAATGAGTGCTCTAATTTAACTAAGGAACCTGTCACGGAGCTGAGAAAGGGATATACGAATTGCACTTGCAATTCGAGCTGATTAATTCATTAGATTTTTATAAGGCAAATAATGTGGAAAGTTAGAACAGAATTTCTAAAACCATTTATCCTGTGATGTTGTAAATCAAAGAACTACTTTATTAAATGAGTTATTTTACACAATATGAACATCAATATAATTACAATTGTAAAAAAATTTTTTATAACAAGGATGGACTGATTTTCAGATTTCCAAATCAGAGTCAACTGTACATTTACACAGAATTGTCTTTGCATGAAGCCCAAAAGGGAACAGCATAAAAATGAGTGTTTTCTGTAGCCCCTTTATTTTTGCTGATCAACAGTTTGTTAGAAAAGCAGCTGCAGGTATGTTACCTAAGGTCTGAGACAGTAGAAGACTCAAAGCTGTCATGAATTCACCTATAAAACATAAGCAAAATTTTCAATGAATGTTACCATTACACAAATGCAACTTAATCTGCATTTCAAATAACTAAGAAACACTATGAACATAGTATCAGAAATAATTCTCAAACACACAACACACCCACCACTAACTCCACTCTTTAGGAGGAAAAATTCCAACCAAATACAATGTGTAAAGTGATGACTTTCAAACAACAAATTTATAAACAAATTTACATAGCACATATCTACATTTTGCCCTATACTTTAATACTCATAAACTCTGCTAAGGGGATGGGTTGGGGGGAAAAAAGAAGAACATCTGCTAATAATTGTAAGTAAAGTAACTGTAAAAAGGTGCTCAGGAACATTGGTGTACACTGTTTCTGAGAGAAAAACTCTCCAGTATCTTTGTCATCACTATTTCCTTTAAACGGATAAGTTTCTTCCATTCTTGGACCAGAGTTGGCCAGCATGTACTCATCTCCCCATTTTGGGCTACAGTAGTAAAAATTTGGATGTTTCAAAAGCATTGAAAGGAAACAGTCTGAGAAAAAGGGACTTTTAAGTTACACATTAAAGGTGGAAGCAATAAAGTCTCAGAAGGCAGAAATTAATTTCACAATATGAGAAGACAGTTTTGGTCTTTTTACAACGCTGATATTAACAAACCAATAAAAAAGAGGTCAGTTACCTGTAAACAACCTTATGCCTGAACATCAGCTAATTCTGGAGGAAGTGGAGTCTTAGGATGCTTGCTCTCAAAGTGCTGCTTGAAGGTCTTAGGGTCTGGCATTTGTGTCTAACAAAAAAATTGTGCAAAAGAGAGCTAGACATTATTTATGAAGCAAAAATGTGTTACGTTTTAGAATCCTGAACCTTCTCATGATACACAATTATCACAAAACATCTTTAAATTCCTACAACTCAGAGGCTGGCATATGAAGAGGGATTTTGTGGTAAAGAAATTCCTAACATTCCCACATTTCACATATAAAGAAAGGTAGGTCATACAGAATGTATTCTGCTTATCTGATTAACAGCAAACAACAGGTAACATTTACTGAATGCTTATTATGTTAAGCACGTTACCTTAATTCCCACAGAACCTTCAAAGTAATCTGTAGCTCTTTCTAGCATCCTCATTTCATGCGATAAGAAAACTAAAACCCAGAGTTTAATTTACCCAAGACCTTATTTTAGTACTTAGTACTAGGTATGTGACCTCTCAAATACTATACTATACTTTCTCCCCTGACAAGAACCTTCAATTATTTAGTTTTAACCCATTCAATTAACAACATATGAAATAGAAGTCTGTGGGTTTGAGTTTTTTAATATGCAAATTACTCTAGCACTTTTAGGTTAAGGTATTTCATTATTAATTGATTAAACTGTGCACTCTGCCTCTTTCAAAACAATCAGAAGCTGCTCAATTTCATTATTTTGAGTGTATATGTAGGAAACTAATCCCACTATGGTTTCCTTTGGCACTGCCATTCACTAACTTCAAGGATAATGAGCTTAAACAAACAGGCAAGAGGCTCTGAATTGGAATTTCAGAAGTATTTCTTTGAGAGGCAGTACAGCAGTGGTCCAGAGGGTAGACTCCGGAGTTGAACTGCCTGACTTTAGATTCCAGCTCTTCTACTAACCAGTGGGGTGACCCCACACAAATTGTTAAATTTCCATGACTCAGTTTACTCTTCTTTAAAATGAGAGTAATAAAAGTACTTTATCTCATAGGGTTGTTATGTGGATTAAATGGGTAAATACATGTAAAACACCTGGATCTATGTCTGACATATGGTAAGCACTCAAAAGTAGCTGTTATGGCTGGGCGTGGTGGCTCACGCCTATAATCCCAGCACTTTGGGAGGCTGAGGCGGGTGGATCACGAGGTCAAGAGATCGAGACCATCCTGGTCAACATGGTGAAATGCCGTCTCTACTAAAAATACAAAAATTAGCTGGGCATGGTGGCGCGCGCCTGTAGTCCCAGCTACTCGGGAGGCTGAGGCAGGAGAATTGCTTGAACCCAGGAGGTGGAGGTTGTGGCGAGCCGAGATCGTGCCATTGCACTCCAGCCTGGGTAACAAGAGGGAAACTCTGTCTCAAAAAAAAAAAAAAAAAAAAAAAGTAGCTGTTATATTATTTTTCAAATCTAATAAAACACATGAATTCTAAGAAAAGCTCTCAACATGAATCTACTCTATATAGTTTTATAGACATCCTAATTATGGATTTAGTGAAGAAGGAAAAAAAAACCCAATGATATTACCAGAGGTATATTTACCAGCATGTCATATAGCTCTAAGAATGTAGTTTAGAGCTATGATATGCTAGTGAAGTGTATCATATGCCCTTATGAAGACATTGTTATTGTATATGAGTAAAGCAATTTTGTTTTGTTCACCCCTTTTCCCCAGCACCTAATTTTGTCTGGCCACAGGAGCCATTCAAAACATATTTGTTGAAAGAATGAATGAGATAGACACCTAAAATAATCAGCTTTTGAACCTACTATTTCAAGTAAAGCATCTATTTTGCCATGGTTTCAAAATTTTAATCTACACAAACCAATTTATAATGAAAGAACTGCCCATGGGAGAGCTGTATCTTTCGATTCCCCTTACCCTACAGACAGTGCAAGTATATATTAAGGCAGCTTTGGCAGCAGCCTTTTGGTCATGTCCTTGTTTCTTCTTTTGTCCCGCTTGCTTTTTGGCATTTTTCTGCTGAGACTGAATCTTCTGCTGTCCACGAGCCATATCTAAAAACAGAAGGTAAAGCATTAGAGTGGCTTATTTACTCTAATACAGAGTAATCTGAGCATAAGAAGGTTCTTAGAATTGAAGCCTTAAGTTTTATAGAAACATCTGGCAAATAAAAATGAATAGGTATTAGAATTCTTACATACAAATACTACAAAAGTATTTACTGGCACAACTCTGTGGAAAGCTAGTTGGTAGCTGTTTATTCTATGAGCCAGCAATTCCACTCTTGGTATATGTCCAATACAAATGCAAATGTTATGTACCCAAGGCATGTACAAAATGTTCAGAGTGCCTATTCCAAAACTGGAAACAATGTGAATGTCTATCAACAGTAAAATGGATGCACAACTTGTATACATATTTTTATAGTACTTATACAACGGGAATACTACGCAGCATTTAAAAAATTGTTACAAGTAACAACTTGGTTGTACCTCAATGTTAAAGGAAAGAAGCCAGTTGTGGAGAATATACATTATTTAAAGTTTGAAACAGGCAAAGCTAATCTATAGTGAAGGGAGTCACCTTGGGGTTACGGTTAATGACTGGGAAGGCAGTGCAAGAAGAGGACTTACGGGGTTCTGAAAATGTTCTCTATTTTGAATCAAGTGTGTTTACTTGCAAAAATTCATTGAACTGTACACTTAAGATTTATGTATTTTACTGTATGTAATCTTCAAAAATTTACTAAAAAAGATTAGCCACCCCCCATCATTTATTTGATCACTCAACAAAGGCAATTTCCCTTCCTAGTATTCACGGTGACTTGCAATTGTGATTCTTACAACTTTAAGGAAGAGCTGACAGCTAATCCTTCTAAAGGAGACCACTGAAACAGGTGGACACTGTTCTCTTAAATACTTAGTTTTCATAAAACTACTGTTATTATTTTTTAAAACATTGGTCTTGCTGGAGTGCTGCACAAATTATAAAATAAGATTATTAGCAAGCTACTAATTCCAGAAGTTTCTTTGCTCTCTAGTAGTTCCAAGTTGAGGGAATGAACGTGGTTAAGAGGGTTCTTTTACAAAGCTGAAAGATAACACACTTTTTATTACTGATGATCTGAAGTGAACCCAAATGGATTAAAAAAAAAATTTCGCTGAAAAAAAAAGTTACCTTTACTACTTTTCCATTTAAAGGCTTTTATTAGACCACACAAGTTAAACCTGTTCATAAAGAGTCTTTCAAGAGTCTCAATTGCTTTTTAAATATATCAAAATTGGATCCTAAGAAGAATTCATATATATATAGTTTTGACTAGCACTGTAACTAAATGTAAATTATTGCAGGACAGGAACATAGAATGGATTTATATTAACTTCACCAGGGAAGGGTGAAGCTTTTTCTGATTGGAACCGTAATTAGTTAATGGATATGAGGTCAAAGCATTTCATAAAAATTACTGAGCTCCTAGTCCCTAAAAAAGGAAACTGAAAAAATACACGGATTGGAGAAGTTCCCACCAGCAAAAAAATGAACTGAAAGTCAGATAAAATATAAAAGAGGGTCAATGCTTTTCAGGATAGTTGGCTGAATCAACTGACAAAACATGGAGTTTTTGTATTAGGCTAGCATACTACATACTAGCCTAATACATTTTCGTAATTGTAAATATTAGCATGCTAGCCTAATAGGAGAACCCCATTCCCACCAAACAATGGTAAATATTGCTAGCTTTAACAGTCCTTGAAGACTTAGCTTCCATTTTTGCTTAAACAAACAAACAAATGTAAGGGCGTGGTGGTTCAAGCCTATAATCCCAGCACTATGGGAGGCCAAGGCAGGTGGATCACTTGAGGTCAGGAGTTCAAGACCAGCTTGGCTAACATGGTGAAACCCCGTTTCTACTAAAAATACAAAAAATTAGCCAGGGGTGGTGGCATGCATCTGTAATTCCAGCTACTCGGGAGGCTGAGGCAGGAGTATCACTTGAACCTGGGAGGCGGAGGTTGCAGTGAGCCGAGATCCAGCTATTGCACTCCAGCCTGGGCAACAAGAGTGAAACTCCATCTCAAAAAAAAAAAAAAAAAAAAAAAAAAAAAAAAAAAAAAAAAAAATCCCCATATCTTTAATTCTAAGCCAAATTGCACAGTCTTCTTCTTCTTCTTCTTTTTTTTTTTAATGTATGTTTAAGTCCGATATTACTGCAAGCTTACAAACCTGTTCGCATGGAAAAGAGGTTTGGATACTTTTGTATAATTTGGACGACAGTAGTCACATGATCAATCTTTAGGTATACCAATGTTTTATAACATTTTTTCTGTCTCAGTGTCTTACTATCAGGACCTTATAACAAAGTAGTCAGTCCTGTCACTCATCTTAACTCTTTGACAAAATGTATTTTATGTATGTTGATATACTGATTTTGTGGGAATTCTCGTTTTACGATTAAAAAAAAAAATCTTCAAAAATTAAGCCGCTAATTTTAGAAGTTTCTTTGCTCTCTACAAGTTACTAGCTACTGTGATAGTTCCATGTAGTGACTCGTACAAAGCAATGTCACTATATACACAAAATTATTTTTAACTTTTGCACTTAGGACTTTCCCTAAAATATAACATTACACAATAGAGTTAATCCATTTTTCATTGTCACCAAACAGCAATCAAAAAGCCCGAAGAGACTTAATAAAGACAGTAGTTGCTTGTTCTTATTCTGAAAACAGAAAACATCACATAAAGGAAATTGAATCAAACAGGCTAAGTGCATGAGGTAGGCCCCTAACTTCTGACAACACGCCACATCGATTTCCTTTCTGAAAGCAGAAACTCAAACGAACCAACCACCTGCTTTTGGACAGCTCAACTTATGATGTGCTCTCAAGCCAACAGCATTTTCTACAAAATCATAAGCAGCTACAACCGTTCCTTGATTAAATGCGACAAACTGGAGGGAAAACGTCATTTACAAATACCTACACGCTGGTTTTTAATGCAACTCTTCGTGTGGTTTTCCGAGGGGCTGCAAAGAAGGAAGTAGTAGAAGGAACGAGTTCTAAAATGAGGCGCTCTCGTAGGAGGCAACAAGTAAGCACTGCCCCAAAGCTCCTTTAAAACCAACACAAATGAGTAAGAGAAGAAAAGGATTTTGGGTCCAGGAAGTAGGCACATTCTCCATAACCATCTGAAAGGAAGAGGCCCAGGCAGCGCTCCATAGACTGGCCCTAGCTTTCAACTCCATCGTTTCGGGGAGAGGAGGCGAGGAACGCACCCAGAGTGAGGTCTCCTTCACCCAACACTTCTCCGACCCCAGCCGCAGCCTGGCGCACCTTCCTTCCCAAACCGGCCTCTCCCGCCTCGGGACCCCCTCCTCCTCCCTGCCACCAAAGGCTAAGAAGCCCCCACCTAGCCAGTCCTCAAGGACCCTGGTCCGAGGCCAAGACTGCCCGAAACCCGGACCCCGCGGCCACCGGGAGCGCCGGCCTCCGGCAGCCGACCGGCGGCTGTCGCCAGGGATAAGGTTACCACTCCGCTCCCGCGGCTGGCCTGCCACCCGGCCACCTGCAGGGCCTGGCAGGCGCCCGAGTTCACCCTCCCTCCCGCGGCCCGCGCCGGGCCGGGCCCCGCCGCTCCCCGCGACCCCTCGCGACCCGCGGCGAGTCCCGCGGTCCCCACCGCCCCTCGCCGGCCGGCCCCCGCCCCGTTTCCCCGGCGTCCCACGGCGTCAGCGCCGCCCCCGCTGCCGCTCACCCGGGCCGGGACAGTCTTGCGTCGGAGAGACGGCGCAGCGCGAGAGGGCAGGGGGAGAACGCCGGAGAGAGAGGAAGGGGGAGCGCGCCCAGTACCGCTTGGGCCTCCTCCACCCGCCGAGGTGGGGAAAGAAGAGAGCCGGGAGCACAACAGCCCGCGCCTCGCACACCCGCCGCCGCCGCGCGCCCGCCGCCGCCTCAGCCTTAGGGGAGGCCACTACGCCTCGTGCCCGCGCACGCCGCGCCGATCTCCCCGGCGTCCCTGCCCCGCCCGCTCCTCGTAGCCCCGCCCACTTGCCTTCCTGCGGCAGCCTCCTCCCCGCTCGCGCCCGGCTTGTACGCCTGCGCCCTGGCCCGTCGCGCGGGCCAATGGCAGCGCGCCCTTATTACATAAGCGCGAGGGCTGACCCTGGCGGACGTGAACTTCGGGGAACGTCGCCCTCTGTCCTCAGGCGTCCTTCCTCTCCGTCGCACTCAGTCGGCGGCTTCTTCACCTGGCCGTGGGAGCCGCGTGATCCCGGTCCTGGCTGGTGACTGGGCCGCGGCGTGTTTCACAAGTCGCTCGCTCGCTCACCCACTTGGGCGGCAGCCGGGCCTCAGGCCCCCCGCTCCTTTTCCCGCGCCTCCCTGGCTGTCGCGCCAGTCATCGCGGCGCCCTCCTGGGCACCGGCTGAGGCGCTGGCCCGGGAGAGGAGCGCGGGGCCGCGGCGGCCGGGTCACAGTCCGGGATCCCCGCCACCAGGGACACCGCAGCCTGGTCCCCAGCGAGGCCGGCTGCCCAGCGGCTCCGAACGCGGACGCGGAGCCTTTGTTCTCTCACCAGCCGCCCTTTACCTCACCCATGGGAACCCCGGGTGTTTTCCCAAGCTGGGAAGTTTTAGTGAACTCAGGATTCAAGCCTGAGCCCCATTAAAAATTCCTGGCTAGGGCCGGGCGCGGTGGCTCACGCATGTAATCCCAGCACTTTGGGAGGCTGAGGCGGGCGGATCACAAGGTTAAGAGATCAAGACCATCCTGGCCAACGCGGTGAAACGCCGTCTCTGCTAAAAAGTAAAAAAATTAGCTGGGCGGGGTGGCGAGCGCCTGTAATCCCAGCTACTCGGGAAGCTGAGGCAGGAGAATCGCTTGAACCCGGGAGGTGGAGGTTGCAGTGAGCTGGGATTGCAGCCTGGCAACAGAGCGAGACAACGTCTTAAAAAAAAAAAAAAAAAAAAAAATTACTGCCTCGGCCTGGCGCGGTGGCTCACGCCTGTAATCCCAGTGCTTTGGGAGCCCAAGGCTGGAGGATCACTCGAGCCCAGGAGTTCCAGACCAGCCTGAGTAACATAACGAGATCCCAGTCTCTACAAATAAAATAAAAAATTAGCGGAGCATGGTGGCCCGCGCCTGTAGTCCCAGCTACTCGGGAGGTGGGAGAATCGTTAGAGCTCAGGAGGTAGAGGTTGCAGTGAGCCAAGATCGCGCCACTGCACTCTGGCCTGGCGACAGAGTGACACTGCCTAAATAATGATAATAATAATAACTGCTGGCCAGGCCTCCCTGAGGGGTTTAGTCTTACTGCTAGCAATATATAATATGGAATTGCTAATACTTTGGTGAATGGTTACAGTTCCTTGCTGTCTCTCCCTCTCTAGCTCTCACTCGCTCTCTCGATTTACAGGCAATGTCAGCAAACTTTCAATAGCTGATCAAGAGCTATGGCGATTCTAACCATGATTACATTTGCTGATTATCTGGAAACAGTACTTTAGACATCAGCTTTTTTTCTTTTTTCTTTTTTTTTGAGACGGAATCTCTCTGTCGCCAGGCTGGAGTGCAGTGGCGCCATCTCGGCTCACTGCAACTCTCCCTGGTTCAATCGATCTCCTGCCTCAGCCTCCCGAGTAGCTGGGATAATAGGCGTGTACCACCACGCCCAGCTAATTTTTGTATTTTTAGTAGAGACGGGGTTTCACTATGTTGGCCAAGGTCGTCTCGATCTCTTGACCTCTTGATCCGCCTGCCTCGGCTTCTCAAAGTGCTGGGATTACACCATACCCGGAGGACATCAGCTTTATTCTGCTTGCTTAACCCCCTCCCTCACACGTTAGTGTCTAATTGTTAGTGACAAAAAAGAAAAAAACAAGCGTTTGCATTGGCTATTCTTAACTTGCCTGTAGTGTTGTTTCCCAAGTTTGCCTGTCAGTGCCCAGGAAGTGTTAGTTGAATATTTCACAGAATTGTTTAAACTAGCCAGAAGGAGTTAGCTGCTTATTGCATTTGAGTGGAGAAAAATACGAAATGAAACATGGCGTGCAGCCAGGTGTGGTGGCTCAGGCCTGTAATCCCAGCACTTTGGGAGGCAGAGGCCGGTGTATTACCTAAAGTCAGGAGTTGGAGACCTGTCACTGCTAGAAATACAAAATTAGCTGAGCATGGTGGTGCATGCTTGTAATCCCAGCTACTCGGGAGGCTGAGGCAGGAGAATCCCTTGAACCCAGGAGGCAGAGGTTGTGGTGAGTTGAAATAGCGCCATTGCACTCTAGCCTGGGCGACAAGAGCAAAACTCCATCTAAAAATCAATAAATAATAAGAAAAAAGAAAAATAAACATGGCGTGCAATGATCGGGTGTTCAGTTCTCTCTTCATCCTCATTTGAGCTCCTCTTACCTTCACTTTTAATGTTCTTCCTTCCTTCTTACAGTTTTAAAAATTACTCTCTAATACTAGATTGTTAGATTATTTTCATCACCATATATGCAGTGTGTTAAACGTAGTAGACATTGAATAAATGGATCTTGACCAAATGAACCAAGTGTGTCTGAGGAGAGCAGCTTTTAAATAGACACATCATGGAGCTCTAGCTTAGTCACCAATCGTCACTATAACCATAATGGTTACATTAATCTGGCTGATAGAGGGATGAGGTACTTGGAACCCCTAGAAATGGGAACTTCAAAGATCTGTGTTTGTCTAGCCATGAATGACAGTAAACAGTGGAAAGGGACAGTGAAATCTGTCTGGCAGAGATAAGTCTTCTTAACTAGAGAGGTGACTCCTATTGTGAGGTAGGTTAATATGTCACGCTTTACCATGGCCTAGATGAAACATGTATTCAAGCCGTTGTTTTTTAAGTATTTGAATCATTGAGAATTTAGTGAAAGCTATTGACTTTGCCTGCAAAAGTTCATGTACATATAAACTTATCCTCATAGGTACTCTTTCTTAATCTCAGCACCGTTGAAATTTGGACTGGGTGATACTTTATTATGGGGATCTGTCCTGGGGATTGTAGGATGTTTAGCAACATCCCTATCTTCTACCTGCTTATGCTAGTAGCACCTCATCTCCAATTGTGACAACTAAAAATGTCTCCAGACATTATCACATGTTCTCAGGGGGTCAAAATCTCCCCTGATTGAGAACCACTGCCTAAAGGATATGGCATAATGATAACTTTGTGTGATGGTTAGGGAATTTGAAAAACAAAGAAAAAAAGAAAAAAACAAGGAATGGATAAGATTCAACATCTGTGAAGTGACACACAGTAAATGAAAGGAGGATGAATTAGCATTACTACCAGCTGGTGTCCTACTTATGTTATAGAAATGTGACAGGCAAATGCGATATGAACTTCGTAGAAGCATTTTTATGCACATTTCTGGCTTTAATTGTGAATGTAACTCTCCTGTTTTTCTTCTGCTGCCTTTAGACAATCAGTCAAGGTTAAGATGCAATAAACATGTGCCTATTTTCCATCCAAAATCACAATCAGATTAAAATGCTTCTCTAAAGACCTGAAAGGTTTATTTATTTACTTGTATTTATGTAGGATTTGAGAGAATAAAAGAATTGGTGATTAATCAACGTATTTTCCTAATAAATAGATTATTCTGACAAATGTGTCATGGCAAATAATAGCAACAGCAATAATGACAACCATAAACTTGCAACAGAAATGGATTTTTATTTTTAATCACCTCTTTCTCCTCCACTTGCTTCTGCTTGTTGAGATTTCTCACCCCTGCAACCTGGATCTTCTTGTCTTCTTTATATTCTTTCCCCAAAGGAATCTCATTCACTGTTGTGGCTTAAATACAAGGTTCAGATGACCCCCACATTTCTGTCTCCAAGTTGACATATCCAAATGCCCACAACTCATCTCCTCTGATGTCTTATAGACATTCATATTTAATACTCTATTGTATTGAGTCTAAGGAGCCATGAATTGTAAGTCACATGTATGTCCACTAAGATTTAAAAATACTGTAAACTGAATTATAACAAAATGCTGATATCCTTGATTGTAAGATACATCTTGATTTTAGAGACTTTAAAAATAGCCTTAAAAAATAATGTGATTTACTAGAATAGCACCAAAAAGAATACTTAGGAATAAAATTACCAAGAGAAATGCAAAACTTATATTCTAAACTCTAAATAACATTGTTGAAAGAAATTAAAGAAGACCTAAATAAGTGGAATGGTATCTCATGTTCATGGATCAAAAGACTTTGTAAATATGGCAGCTATCTCCAAGTTGATCTACAGATTTGGTGCAACCTCTATCAAAATTCCATCTGATATCTTTACACAAGCTTATTCTAAAATTCATATGGAAATTCAAGGAGCCCAAAGTAGACAAAACAACCTTGGAAAAGATTCCAATTTTTTGGAAAAAAAGAACAAAGTTGGAAGATTCACATTTCCCAATTTAAAAACTTATTATAAAGCTACAGTAATTAAAACAGTGTGGTACTGCAATAAGATTAGACATATAAATCAATGGGATAGGATTGAAAGTCTAAAAATAAACCTTCATATGTATAGTCAATTGATTTTCAACACAGGCACCAAACAAATTCAATGGGTAAGGAGTAGTCTTTTCAGCAAATGGTGCTGGGACAACTAGATAGCCACATGTAAAAGAATAAAGTTTAATTTTATCCTCATAGCATATACAAAAATTATGGTTCAAAGGTCTAAACGTAAATGCTGAAACATAAATGTCCTAGGAGAAAATATAGGAGTAAATATGCATGACCATGGGTTAAAAAGGCCTTTTCTTTTTTCTTTTTTTGAGATGGAGTTTCTCTCTGTTGCCAGGCTGGAGTGCAGTGGTGTGATCTTGGTTCGCTGCAACCTCTGCTTCTCAGGTTCAGGCGATTCTCCTGCCTCAGCCTCCTGAGTAGCTGAGACTACAGGCACGTGCCGCCACACCCAACTAATTTTTGTATTTTTCGTAGATATGGGGTTTCACCATGTTGGTCAGGATGGTCTCAATCTCTTG